AGCAGGTTTAACTAGAAGTCTTTCCTGCAAGGTGATAAGGGGCCACACTTAATGGATTGAGAGTGGGAGGCACCTCTTTAGGGCAGTTAGAGATACTGTGTAATAGGGAAGGGCTGTAACCAGAAGACTGGGTAACAGGAGGCTTTGGGAGTGGGGCAAGGCCAGATTCCTCATTAACAGGCAAGTAACCTGCTCTGTGCAGGTTTGGGTTTGGACTTGGACTTGGAAAGAGAGAGGGTCTGTCCACAGCTCTGGGGCAGCTACTTGCATAGGACTAGAGGGAAGCAGGGCAGGAACAGTGACATAATTTGCATATATAAGTGCAAAATGAAAATCTAGCCTCTTCTTCAAAAACTATTAAGAGTTTTAAAGAGGGTGACAGCAGAGCATTAAGCCAAGCTGGGGGACCCTTGTAAGCACAGGTCACATGCCCATGGAGCCGTCCTGAAGTGGGGTCTAGGGAAAGTGAGCAAATGATGAGGCCACATGAAAGGCAGACACAGGGTCTTCTTCTGGACTTGTGGTCTCCTAACCAAAACAAAGAGAACCTGTAAACACACAGGTGAATGATACTGTGCACTCAACTTTTTGTAGATGGACAGCACATCTACTGAGGCATTTGTAGCTTTCCCAAGAAACCAGTCCATCTCAGCCAACCAGCATTCTCAGAGAGTCCAGGTCTTGCCTTATTTGGAGGAGGGACGGCATTTAAATTTCATCTCCGTCTTGGGGGAGCTCGAAATGCTGAGAAATGCTTGGAGCCCATCTGAGAAAAAGGCCTCTGGAGCTGTTTCTTTAATTTACAGAACTGACAACCAAGGATAGGGACCTTTGGCGAGTACAAAGGGTGAATATCCAGAAAAGAATCAAAGTATTAATAACACGCTCGGCTGGCACTGCTCTCCAGTCCCCCACCCCCAGTGGGGTTCATGTGGCTGGGAAGCCTGATGTCTCCCTTCCACCAGAGCAACATAAGCCAGGGGTAATTTTTAGCACAGACATAACTTTCTAGTTCCTTTTTCCTACCCCTCATTTTTCAGTTGCCTTTAAAGAGGCCACAGAGAGCTGAAAAACAAATCCAAGTTTAAAGAGACAAGTGCAAAAAATGCAAACTGGGCAAGGGGACAGAGCCGCCAGCTGGATGAAATGTGCCTGGAAAACAGCATCCTCTGCTTGGCAGGTGCCAGGGATTTATGGTTAAGTTTTGCAGACGTTTCATCACGTTATAAGCCAGCTCAGGAGACCCTCATAAAACTCTCATATGAAAGAACAAACTAGCTGATAAAAGTCAGATGCTGCCTATAAATGCGCTGTGGGGATTGCAATTGAGTAGTGGATTTATTAGTTTAGGCTCTCTGCGCAAATTAAGAACTACTGCACACATCTGAATTGGGAAGAGAAGGGCCTGAGCGCAGAGGGTTGCTCCCTGCTCCCACGATGGCCAACGGGCCACGCTGACCTCTTCCCCCATCACTTACTCCCTAAGAGACCAGAGGGAAGATTCTCTCTGTAATCAAGTTGCTGGGGATCTGCTCTTTCATTCCCCGTTCTCGCCTCCCACAAAAAGAATCAGTCATTCTCCATCCATTGCATTCCCCGTACATCCTTTATGATAGCACTTCTCACGATAGGCTTATGAATCTGCCTGGCCTGTTCAACTATGTGCTTCTCTTATTTATTTTTGCATCATCGGTAATAAGTTCTGTGCTGGGAACACGGAGAGGCCTGTGAATGAGTAAATATGGATTTGGCAGGCTGTAAAGCAACATATACATAAGTTATCACTACCCCACTCCATATAGCATGGAGGGGTGAGAGGAACTGAGCTGAGGTACCTGTTGGAATTGAGGATGAGCTAGGTGCTGGGAAGTGAGAAAAGGGGAAGAGTTGCAATGAGGAAATTGAGGCTAGTTCCTTCCCCAAAGGGCATTCTTTGTGGTCCGCTATCCAGCTCTCTCCCTCCGCTGCTTTTTCTCAGGATTAAGGTTATTTCTGAAAGAATGACCCTGCAACAGAATGAGGAGTACTTGATAAAAGGCAAGACATTTAGACCTTCCCCACACATACTGGATCAGAATATCTGGAGCTGGTCCCTAATACGCTGTACCAGGTACCAGTCTTAGAAAAAATGACTTTCCTTTGCACTATGTAGAAACCAAGAAGGAGCCTTCCAGGAATGATGGGGAGGAGGGAGAGTGCCTGGAAGGGGCAGTCCCCTCCACTCTCACCCACCATTCCGTAAAGACTGGCTTTCTCCTCCCAGCCCCTGGCATAAAGGGCAAAAGTGTAAGACTCTGGCAGCGTCAGGATTCACTCCAGCCCTCCTGGCTACAGGATCAGAAGGGAGGGTAACTGGCAAGGCTGCCACTGCCCTGAGAACCTGGGATGCCTTCTGTGCCACTGCCAAGCCAGATGGGGGCAGTGCTGCCCTTACCTCTGCTGTTTGGAGGCCTCGTATTCCAAGCAGGGCTGGGTATTCAGGAAACCCAGCTCTCCTCACAGCTGAGTGGGTGTTAGGGATGCTCTGCCTTCTGTGGCAGAGAGGAAACAGTGGTAAAAGGGAAAGATCCCTTTCACCAGAACCAAGAAAACCCTGGTGTAAATTCTGGCAATGTCACTGACAAGCTGTGGGTACTCAGAAAACTCACTATGTCTCAAAGTATACTTGTTTCACAGCACAGAGCTACATACTTATCAGATGACTAATAAATCTCAAATGAATTTCAGCTCCTCAAATGTTTATAAATTTTCCAAAAGCCTTCATATATCTCTTCTCACTTAAAACTTGCAACCTTGTAAGGATGTGTATCATCGTCTCCATTATACAGATGAAGAAACTGAAATTTAAGAGGGGAAATGGCTTATCCAAGACCACTTGGCTATTAAAAGGCTGTTCTGGGACTCGGACCCATATCTGGGTCACTGGCAATTCAGCAGGCTTTCCCCTGCGTTGATTATCAACGCACTAGTCCTTTTCCACCTTCCGCTGAACATGCTTCTCCAAATGTGCACTCTCCCTATATTCTCATAGGGAGGAGAAATTATAAACCAGTTGCAGATGATACCCAGCCCTTATTATCCTGATTAAAGTCATACATAGTACCAACACCACAAAGCTTTGACTCTCCTTGGGCAGAAGTCCTCTTCAGAGCCTAGGATGCCACTGGCTTCCCTACTCTGCCTGAGAGAAAAATCCTGTGGTCCATTTCTAAATGTGGATAGGGTAGAGATAGGAAAGAAAGAAATCCGAATTCTTCATCTCATCCCAACAGATTGTCTCACTGATAGGGAAGGGGGTTCTTAACCCAAACAGTCTACTTCCCCAACTGAGAGCAACAGAGAAAAGAACTCACACTTGACACCTCAACCCATAAGCCAGTAGTAGCATGCTTGGAAGAGCACTGCAGAGACTCCCATTATGACGATTCTAAATTAATGATTCTAAATTTAACGATTCCAGTAAAAATATCCACAGAATTCTTTTTAGATTGGGGGTGAGTAGATGGGGTAGGATTAGCTAATTAAAAAATTCCAGGGAAAAAAATTATCATGAGCAGGAGTGGGAATACAGGGCAGGCTGCTGATACCTAACGGATATTAAGGCTTCGGAAATAGCCTACATGTCCATCAGTAAGGGGCTAAATAAATTATGGCATATCCATACAACAGAAAGCTATGCAACTGGTTTAGAAAAAAGTTAAAGAAGCTCTTTATGTATTCACATCGAATGATCTCACAAGTAGAAAAAAAAAAAAAAACAAGGTATAAAACTGGGTGTACAGTATGCCATTATCCATATAAAATTATGGAAAACACACAAGAACGTATCTGCTTGTTGCATTAGTTATCGATTGCTATGGAACAAATTACCCCACAACTTAATGACTTAAAACATTTATTATTTATTTCCATGGGTCGGGAATCTGGGCACAGCTTAACTAGATGGCTTTGACTCAGGTCTTCACGACGTTGTATTCAGGCTGTCCGTTGGGGCTGTGGTCTCAACTCGGGGAGAGACGGTCTGCTTCCAAGCTCACTCAGGTGGTTGTTGGCAGGCATTGGTCTCTCATAGGAGCACCCCACAGGGCTGCTCCCTCAGCATCGCGGGTGACTTCCCCCAGGATGAGCGATCCAAGAGAGTGAGCGACAGCACCCGAGATGGAAGCTGCAGTCTCTTTTTTTATAATCTAGTTTTAGAAGTGACATCTCACAACTTCTGCAGTGTTCTTTTCCCTAGAGGCAAATCTGTAAGTCCAGCCCACACCAAAGGAGAAGAGATATACACAAGCCTGAAAACTAGAGGTGGGATTGCTGGGGGCTGTCTTACAGCATACCCAGCACTGCGCTTATTTAGGCAAAGAAAACCTTTGAAAGGGTGCACCAGAAACATTTAACACTGGCTGCCTCCGGGAAAGGGAACTGAGAACTGGGGCCGTAGAACTTTTCATTGAACATGCTCTTGTACCCTTTGAATTTTGTATAAAGCAACCAGTACAATGCCTGGCACACAGCAAACTTTTGATATGTGCTGCCTTCCGTTCTTTCTCAAACGCTGCCTTTACTTAGACTGTCCCCTGTGCATGGAACACCCTGTACTCTTCTCCTGGCCCCAAGTAAAATTAGCCTCAGGCCTAACTCAGATATCACTATCACTATGAAGTATTCTCATGAGCAGTTAGCTATCACCTCTACTCTCCCAGAGCATTCTGTTTTAACCTCAAATATAACACTTTTATTACTGTATTACAACTTAAATCTCTTCAACTCAGTCTGGTCTTCGGATCATCAGCATCAACATTACCTGGAACCTCATTAGAAATGTAGGATCTAGGGCCCCAGACCTACAGAATCAGAATCTAAGCTTTAGCAAGATACCAGTGACTGGGAAACACTGGTTTAAGTCTTTCCCTGGTTGAACTATAAGCCTTTCTTTCTATAAGAACTATAAGGCTCTCTTTCATCTCTGTCCCCAGAACACATCATAAGACCTGACACTCAAATATTTTTTGAATGAAGTTTTATTTACAATTAATATGTATGTAATAGAACAGATTTTTAAAAATTCTGTAAGCATACATACCGTATTATCAAAAACAGTTATTTAGCAGGTGAACAATGTGCATTTTCACTTTCTGTAATACTTCAATTTTTTACCATCAGAATGTATCTTTATAGGCAGACAAACATGAAGATTCAGAAAAATATAGGTAAAATGTAAGATATAATACATTCATAAAACAGTATACAATAATGTATATGATGGCACATATTTGTGTTGCTCTATATTCATTTACGACATGGAGATAACCAAACTATATATATATATATTTTTTTAAAAAGACATTTAAATAACAGTATGCATAAATACCACATCTGTTTTTTAAAAAAATTTTTGGAATACGGACACTGAAAGGATACATATCAAAATATCTCTGATGGAGCTTGTTTTATACTTTTGTACATTAAAAAAATTTTTTTTACAATTTTCCTATGATTTTTAAAAAGCATATATTACTTTTGCTGTGAGAAAAAAAGGTCATTTTCATTTTGAAAAATATTTATACTCTTTATTAAGCCCCTTTACATCCAATGAACCAGATTTTTACAACAGCCTAGGCGGTTGATGGGTCTGAAAGTACCACAACCATTTTACAGACGAAGGCACTGAGCCTCAGAAATACAACCCTCATCACCCGACTCCAGGCCACTATTTTCCCACTCATGCAGATACTGCACGATCAGAGGAATGTGGCAAGTCAGTTGCTGGCTTTGGTTAAAAAAAATAAAAATAAAAATAAAAAGGCCTGTCATTTTAGGAGTCCAACTGTCCCCAGTTACTTATTCTCAGATAATAAGAGCGACAGGGGAACACCTTCGAAGACAAAGCATTTAGAATCATTCATGCTGCACCGCCTCCCCCATGTGGTAGGTTCTGGAAACTGAAACTGGCTTGATGATGAGAGCTATTACAATTGGAAAATAATTACTGTTTTCCATCAAAATTATTTCTTTTAATCATCAAAATCACTTTCTCTTTCTTCAAGGAATTGGTTACTGACACAAATACACAAAACCAGGACCTGGTGTCAACCAGGCTCAGAGCTCTGGATGATGCCAAGGCTGGTGTCACCCTCTACCCTGTCCTTTCGTTCCCTACCACTTCTGTAGCTGCCGTTTCTGCTGCCAGTGTTCTTCTGCACTGCTTTCCCACCATTCTCTCTGCCTCCACCCACTCCCCTGAGCCTTAGGAAAGGGCAAGGGGTGGCTATGTACCCTCAGCCATGACCTGGCAGAGAGAATCCCCAGTGTCAGAAACATACGGCATCATCCTCCCAAGAGCCAGTCCTCAGGCTCTAGACACTGATTTTTCAAATATGTCAGGTGGCGATACTGACATTTCTTTAGAAATACCAGAGCGCCACACCGTCAGTCTTCAACTGTGGCCCCCTGGCCTCCAGATAAACACACAGCTTCTTTACTCTTCCAGGAAGAAGGAAACATTCAAGAGGATATCTAGAATAGGAAGAGAAAGACTGTGACAAACCACCTCTCCAAGAACATAAAACAGACTGATAAAAGATACAGAGGCACTGTGAGGGCATCTCTATGACGCTTCCAAAGAAGTGAGACACTGGTTAAGAAAGAAGCTGAGGAGACATGAAGGAATAAGCAAAAACCGGTACCTTGCACAAGGTCTTGGTGTTCGTCTTCTGAAATTCGGTCCCAGGCCTTGGGCAAAGCTTGGATGTTCGCCAGGTCTTCCCACTGGATTGAGGACAGGAGGTACTTTCTCTTCAGGTACCTTGCTGGAAGTTAAGGACTGCTCAAGAAGAAATTAAATATGCTGAAGGAAAGCAATGCCCGTGCTGCTACCACAGTGGTAGCAGCATGGGCAGTAGGAGCTGTAGCTGCAGCTAACATTACCGGGCATTTATTATGTACCACCACGGCTGCTGCTGCTGCTGCTGCTGCTGCTGCTGCTGCTGTTGCAATTAAAAAGGAAAACAGAGAAAGTGGGGAGATGCTGCTCAAGTTTCTAGACTGGGTGATTGATTATACAGGGTTGATTCTACAGCTAAGGGAAAAGAGTGTTGAAAACAAGGGCTAGATAGAGGACTTCAATTCTAAATCTGAGTTTGCAGTGCCATAAGCAATCCAGTTGGAGGCATCTCCAGGAAACTAAATATTAAGACTAGAGACAAGAATAAAGGTTGACGTTATTCAAATAAAGGTAGAAACTTAAGCCAGTGGATAGATGCAAGTGTCAGGCAAGATACAGAAAACAGCCGGAACTCCAATGACCTGGTCTTTCCACTTCCACCTCTGTCCCACACCACCCCAAGTATTTCCTCAGAACACAGCCAGGGTAATTCTGTTAAAAACATAGGTTTGATTACGTTAAAACCCTTTAATAGCTTTCTACCTCGTCCACAGTAAAAGCCAAAATCCTTTCAAAGACCTTCATGGTCCTACAAGATCTAGTCCTGTCTCTCTGACCCACCCTCACCCCTCACTTTCCCTGCTTTATTTTTCTCCATAGCACTTATCACCATCTGACATTCTGTTTTCCTTGTTTATGGTCTATTTCCCAGCACCTAGCAATGCCTGGCAAGTAGCAGCTACTTAATAAATAAGTTGAGGAATGACTGTACAAGGGAATGACGGAAGAACCCAAGTTTAGGAACCAAAGAGAATTGACCCATGCTATAGTTCTGTAATCTTGGGAAAAATGAAATTCAAGAGAGTTCCTGGAACAGCTCTAGACACTAACTGAAACACGAGCAAAGGATACGAACTTCGATAATGTCTCTCGATATCTTGCAACCATTCCAACATGTCGGCCACAGACGGGCTCACAACTGAAGCCTGCAGGACAGCATCAATGCTGATCGTGTCTGCATGCTGCTCATAGATCTGAAGCACTTGTTCCACGTGGCTGCTGACAGTGTCACGCACCTTGAGGAGGGCGGCTCTGGGAAAAAGGGTCTGATATTAGGCAATATCATGAGAAAGGCCTAAGGCAGAATTCCTCAACCTTGGCACACTGACATTTTGGACCAGGTGATTCTTGGTGGCCCTGTGCACTGCAGGATCATCATCCTTGGCCTCCACTCACTAGATCACAGGAGCAACCATGCCCCGATTGTCCCCAAGTTGTGGCAATCTATAATGTCTCCAGATATCGTCAAGTGTCCTAATGGAAAAAAATGGCTCCAAATGAGACCTATTCATCTAAGGAGATTGGTTATAGTGGCTCAAGAATTAAGAATTGACTTAAAGGTGGAGAGGCTGAAGAAATTACATAGCTCTCAAAGCTTTGTGATAAGCCCAGCTGCCAAAGAAAGTAAAGACCAAGGGGCCTTCCTAAAGTTGCCATAAAGCTGCATAAGGAGAGTAACTGTTCATGCATAGGCCCATGCCATGTACGTAAAAGAGAATAATCTAGAATAAACTGAAGCAATAAATCAGTACTATCCACATGTTACCTAGCCCCATCTTAGTTAATTCTTGAAGTTCCAGAAAGTTTAGGTTCATGATACACACAGACTACTGTAGATCTTAGGAAAGTCACCTATTCACAATCGTGTATAAAAACGGTCTGTTTTGCTCACTGCACATCCTAAGTACCTGGAATACTGAGTCTGGCAACAGAACAACAAACACTTGTTGAATGAACAAAAAGGTTTATTGTGAAAATTAAATACAATAATGCATATAAAGTGCTTAGGGAAGTGCCTAGCTTATGGTAAGTATCTTTATTATTCCATTGGTGACTTCAAGGAGCCCAGCTCCCAAGACAAAGGCTATAACTTCCCAAAGGGCAAGGCATTCCCTGGCTTAGAATCGTGGCTTTCAAAATGTTTGGCCACGACTCACAATTAAAAATAGACATAATAACAGCCCAGTACCCATGCACAAATGTATAATTCATCGAAATCAAAGTTCACTACTTCAGTTAGTTCACTGATTGTCTCTCTTCTACTCAGCTAAGGAACTAAGTCTGGTTTATTGTATTCCTAGCACCTTGTGCTTGGCATCCCATAATAAATGTATTTTGTATAAATGAATACAGAGAAGGTCACCATTTTTGACAATTTCCTATTAGTCTGTAGTGCAGAGTCTACACACCAGAACCTCCTTTTGTTCTGATCAAGGGAAAGGCCACATATACCCTGTCTTTATCTTTGTAACCTATAACTCTGAAATAGAGAGTCTAACATTAGGCATGATAACAGCCGAGAGATGGGCTACTCCTGAGCAAAGAGGCACCAATGTACAACAGACCAAAGTGGTGGTCGAGAGCTCTGGCCTTGGTGCCAGGCACACTTGGGTTAGAGCCCCGGCTTTGCCATTGGCTGTGAGACCCTAGGCAATCTGCTTGAGCCTGTTTCCTTACCTGCAAAAAGGGATTAAGTGAGGCTAAGTCACAGAGGTGTTGAAAGGTTTTATGAGATAATGGATTTAAAACTCTTAGATCTGGCATCCACCAAGTTTGCAGTATACAGTTGACCCTTAAACAACACAGGCTTGAACTCTGTGGGTCCACTCATAGGCAGATGTTTTTTCAATTGACTCCCACAGCTCAAACCTGAGTTGTTCAAGAGTCAACTTCAAGGTTGCGAATCCACATATGTGGAGTTATACAAGGCTTTTCCACTGGGCTGGAGGTCAGTGCCGCTAACCACCCCTGCCTTCATTGTTCAAGGATAGATTGTAGCTCCTCATTGCTTTTTACCATAGAAAACTACAGAGGAGTTAATAAGCTTTCTCCACTGTTTTCTTGTTTCACTTTCCAACCTTCTCCGAAGTCCACCACGGCCATGCCTAGCCTCTGACAAGGGAAATGCCAGAAAAGGGCTTTCTGACAGAGGTCCCACTGCAACAAACGCAAAGGACATAAGGTTGAGACACCTCCAAATGCTATGCTCTCAAGTAAAGAGAAAAACCCTCCTGACTGACAGATCCTAGCTAGTTATAAACACCGGTTTTAAAATTTTCCGCCAAGAAAGGGCGCTATAGCGTCTCTTACAGGCTCTCCTCTAGCTTGTCCAGGACAATGTCACCAGCCTCTAGCTGCTTGCGCCTCAGCCGCTCCTTCAAATCTGGAAAGGACCGGAGTGACGGCACATCCTCAAATCGCAGATTTTGCGCCGCCTGCAGCTGCTCAGCCAGATTGCTGAGGGAGGTCAAGAGGGGCTGGCAGTCCCTTAGTGTGCTCTGCCACAAGCCCTGCTGCTCCTCCACCACGGGAAAGCACTTCTTCAGGGCCTCCTGCACAGCAAGCAAAGGCTGGTCTTGAGTCATCTGTTTAAAAAAAAGAAAGAAAGAAAAACAACAGTATTTAGGTCCCATGTCTGTAGGGGAAGTACCAGGTCAAGGGTGAGAGTTATTTCCACTCTCGGATAAGTGTCACCTAAACCAGGGCTTCCTCGGGTAGAGTTGTCTATCCCTTTTGACAGGAGCTCCTGGCGCGAGGCGCTGTCTTACCTTTAGAGGAGCTCTCGCAAGGCAGGGCCCTCGTCCTCACCTCGGGAAGGGTTTCCCGGCTATCGCTCGGAGGAGGCTCTTTGTGGGGCGAGGGCAGTCTCCTGCAGCAGACTGCAGATTCCCGGAGCCGAAGTCCGGTCTCACCCGCGCTGGACCTGTGCTTCGGGAGCCAGAACCTTATCTCATCTCCTCGAGATTGCCGGCTGCTTTCTTTAAACGAGCAGGGGATCTCAAAGATAAGGCCTAGTTTAAGGGCCCGCCAGAGCCGTCACCCCCGCACCCGCAGTTTTTCTGCGCATGCCCCAATGCACCTAAGTCGCAAAAATTTGTCGTAAGCCGCAATGCTTTCTGGGTGCTGCAGTCCTAAAAGCGAGCTGGCGGCCTAATCGCGGAGCTTCCTTGTGATTGGATGTTGTGGACCTTCTTATAAAACCGCGACTTCTCATTCGTCAGCCTGTGGCAGTTTGAATTTGGTGGCGGCGGTCGCACGTCCTGTTAGCTACTGGGCCGCTCCCTTTTAGCTTGAGCTGCGATTTTCTTAGCCCTTGTTTTGGGACCCGCAAGTACGTTCCTCGCCACTCGTTTAGCCCAGACCCCCGCTCCCCCACCTCTAACCCCCTGGGGCGTCCGGTTCGCCCTCTCCCGCCCCTTCGCGGCCCCCTTACTTTCCCTCCCCGACCTCTGTCGCTGATCCTTTGTGGCTCGGTTCCCTGCTCCCTGCAGCCTTCACCGAAGCGTCATGGCTCCGGCTAGGAAGGGTGGCAGTCGAGTAACCAAGACCAACTCGTTACGGAGCCGGAAGCTCACCTCCTTTCTTAAGGACTTCGATCGTGAAGGTAAGGGGCGGATACGGGTCGTCGCTACTACCTGGGGGGCAATCGCGAGGTTCTGGCACATTGGGCCGCGGACCGCACGGATTCCAGGCCCTATTCACCCGCCGGGTGACCCATGCTCTGTTGACTTTGCCTTCTCGCAGTGCAAATACGATCCAAGCAAATTCAGTCAGACCGTCAGAACCTCCTTAAGGAGATGGATAACCTGTACAACATCGAGATCCTGCGGCTCCCCAAGGCGCTGCGCGAAATGAACTGGCTCGACTACTTCGGTAAGAGCTGCTAGAGTTTCCCCAGGCCTAGGCCTGGAGCCCCTCTGTAGTTACCATGAGAGTCTTCACCTTATTTAGGTCTCCTGTGATCACTATAGAAAATTGCTGCCCTACAGCTTCCCCCTCCCCGCCTCCCTGTCTCACTTTCCTGCTTTTTTTTTTTTCCCTCCTTAACACTAACTGTCATCTACCCCTCTGCTAGTCAGATGTTTTCTCGAAAAGACCAGAGGGTTCTCTGTCCAACTACTGAACTCTGCTGTTAGGGTTCCAAAACAGCTGTATGAATGGCCGTGGCTGTTTCACAATAAAATTTGTTTATAGACGCACTGAAATATGAGTTTCACATCAATTTCATGTGTCAGGACAGTCTTTTTTTTTGATATTTTATCCAACCATTTAAAAGTGAGTGAATGAATGAATGAATAACTTGGTTTGTTACCAGAGCTTAGATGAAAGGTTATAATGCTTTCTGCACTTGTGGGGATTGCCAGTTTTAAATGGGCAAATCAAATTGTGAAGTGTAAGGACTCAAGAGTTTCCCTGGCCAAAGAAAAGTCCCAGCCTGTACCCCAGCTCCTTGTTAAATGTCCAAGGAAATGCAAGAGACTTTTCTTCCTGTTGTGTTACCCTTTTTCTATTTTTATTATTAATTACCTAGTATTTAGCCTTCTTTCTGGGTAGAAATGCATGTTCTGCTCCAATAGTAGACATTTAATGATCCTTGTGGCTTGCCCTTTTACTTATTAATCTGTTTGCACATTTCTACAAATATTCATTGAGCATGTGTCAGTCCCAATCCTAGATCCTAAACATGGATTAGAAATAATATAGACATTGTCCCTGCTCTCAGAAACTTACAAGTTAGTAGAGAAAAAGCATTTTAAAAAATTCACACAAAGTTATAAATACTACAAAGGAGGTAGAATAGACTAGTAGTCAGTAAGCACATTTATATAGTGCTTCCTAAGCCAGACAGACATTGTTCCAAGTGTTTAACATATACAGTATGTCCTCAGTGTTGTTGATAAGTTCTTGGAAATTGCATTTAAAGTGAAACAACATATAACAAAACTAATTTTACCATAGGCTGACTAAAGCAAGAGTTAAGCTTCTATGGCATATTTATTTCTGATCACAGAAATATCACCAAATTTCTACATAAAGACCCAAAACACTTCTAATATTAAATAATGAAATAAGCTATACATACATTTAAGAAAAATTAATGAAAACAAGTAAAAGAATTATTTTCTAATCTATCCATTCCAGTTCACGGTCACAGGCAGCTAGAGCCTCTTCCAGCACAAGGCAGGAACCAACCCTGGATAAGATGCCCTTTCATCCAGGGAGCATTCACACACACACCCCCACACACACTCACTCAGAGTGGGCCAATTCAGACACACCAGTTTACCTCAAATGCACATCTTTGGGAGGTGGGGTGAAACTGGAGTACCTGGAGAAAACCCGCTCAGAAATGAGGAGGACATGCAAACTCCACCCAGACAGTGGCCCCAGCCTAGAATTATTATTTTTTTCTCATCAACATTATAATGAAATAATGTTGAATGAAACCATGTTATTCAAGGACTTGCTGTATTAACTAATTTTATCCTCATAACAACTGTAAGGATAATATTAATTATCCCTATTTTATAGATAACAAGATTAAGGTACAGAAAGATTGGTTACTTTGCACAGGATCTCATGAGCTGGTTAGTGACAGAGTCTTTGAATGCAGGCATATTCTGGTTCCAAAGCCTGAGTTCTTAACTCACATAGGATACTAAGAGAGTTTCTAGCAGAAGACCTAACCTAACTTTATTCTACATCTAACCTTGCACAGACCTCTTCATTGAACACACATTTACTACATACCTACTGTATGTCACATTTTTGCTAGCGACTATGGATATTATTGCTATCCTCAAGGAATTTCAAGACAAGGTGGACACTTAAACTGTTCAAGTTGAGGTGGACACTTAAACTGCTTTGAGTGGTTGTTGAGTATGATAAGAGTGGACAACTAACTCAGCATTTTGCAGCAATCTATAATAGAAAAATAAGCAGAGTTTTGGGTTCAAGCTGAGTTTTAAAGGATGAATTAGAAATTAGTTGGGTGGAGAGAAGTATTTTGGACAGAAGAAATAATAAGTACCAGGACACTGTATCATGAGATACTGTAACAGGGACTTTGGTGTGGTGGAACAGAGACTAGGTCATGAGGGGGACAGGTCAAGCTTGGAGAAAGATTAGACGAAACTGTGAAGGGCCTTGAATGTTGGACCAAGCGCTTAATCTGGTCCAGTTTTAGAAAGATAACTAGTCTTACTGGGCAAGATGATTTATTGTTAAAATCTGATAGTAATGAAACAAAATGTTCTTTTTAAAGCCCTTGGAGGAAACAAGCAGGCCCTGGAAGAGGCAGCAACAGTAAGTGACTTGTCCTATTTTGGAACCGTTGATGAGTTTTTTTTTAAGTTGAGTCTACTCACAAAATCTAACTGGTGGGTGCTTACTGTGGAAGAGGTTCCATAAAGGACCTTTACCTGTCTGTCAACTGAAAAAAATCACGGTTGTCAAGTGCTGAGTACATGAAGCCCAAATAGTTTTGAGCCCTATGAAGGGAGGCATATCTGTTTTTGGCAGGTTCCTTGCAACCCTTTGCCCTGACCTCTGCAGGAGAAGTAGAAAGCCTCAAGTCCAAGTTCCTTGAAGCCCCTGGTCATAATATGGCAGCCTGCCCTGCTAGGTGACAAAGAGACTATTGCTTTATTGTCATACTTTAGAAGCTGTACTCCTGCTTGGGACTCTTAGGATTCCCCACCCCCTCTCACTGCCTTCTTCCCAGCGTCAATATCAGGGCTGAAGGCAGTAGTAAGATTGGAGGCCAAATGAAGAGTTAAATCTGTACTGTCCAAGACAATAGCCACCAGCCACGTGTAGCTATTTAAATTAATTAAAATGAGTAAAATTAAAAACTCAGTTCCTTAGACACACTAGCCACATTTCAAATGTTTAGAAGCCACATGTGACTAGTGACTACCATATTGGAACAGCTAGGAAACAACATTTCTACCCTTGCAGAAAATTCTCATGGACAGTGTTGGTAGCTGGTCCACAAATGAGCTTCACAGAGACCCTAGACACTCTAAAATCATGCATGAACAGTGTATGTGTGTCCATTCATTTGTGTATCTTTCTGGGGAGAAAGTTTATTATAGCTCTCATCAGATTTTCAAAATGAACTCCAAAATCTATATCCTCATAATCTGTCTCTGAGCGCTCTATATAATCCCTACCAATCCAGAGGCGAAAGCTGTGTCATTTATCATCTAATAACTATTCCAATATTTACACATGCCCTACGAGGAAAGGCCTATGAATCATGCCTGTTCTTGGCTATTCCCATACATATAGGTAGTCACTGCTGAGAAGTTTCATTAGAATGGCGACTGGAAGCCTTTTTGAAAGGCCCAGGAGCACCTTACTGACCCTCTAAACTTAAAAAGAGAAAAATGAGAAGTCTGACACAGCACCAGGTATTGTAGAGAATATGGGTTATTAGGGACTTATATTATTGCTGATAGGATGTGAACAAGTGCAACTACTTTGGAAAGTAATTCGACATTATATCAATGCTGGATATTTGTATACCCTAAAACGCTATAACACCCTATCCCTAAGTATATAGCCAAGAGAAAATTTGGACATATGCATCAGATATATGTATGTGATGGTTCAAAGTAGCAGTGTTTGTAATAGCAAAAGACTGTGGACAGGAGATTGGACAAATCTATTGTGATGCAGTCACACAGTGGGATAGTATATAGCAGTGAAAAGAGATTAACTACAACCACAAATAGTTGTCAGAAACAAAACCAAACAAAATATTATTTAAGCTCACATACATTTGTGAAGAAATATGTATATATACACACACACATACTTTTTTTTTTAAGCAATTGAAATGATGGTGTTTATCTCTGGAGAATGACAGAGTTAAGAGATTGGTCACCTTTTGGGAAGAGACAAGGAAACAGAACAGGGAAAAATAAGTAGCTAGGAGCAAGTTCTTGGCAATGTTTTGGGTCTTCGGTTGTATGGTGGGTTTAGGAGTTTATTACAATGTATCAAATAATATATTTTTTAAAGTAATTATTTTTCATCTTAAAATATTGTTCCTCCTATTTGATGGAATATGCCTGGTGTTTTCTGGCTGTGTTTGCCCCAGGCCGACCTGGATATCACAGAAATAAACAAACTAACAGCAGAAGCTATTCAGACACCCCTGAAATCTACCAGAAGTAAGTACTTCTCAAAATCCCTTATTGAACTGAGAGAGCTGAGGCCCAGGGTGGTTGGCTGGCTGCTCAGGGAGGCCTCACTGATGGAGCCTCTTCTCTCTAATGTCTGATCCTTGGTCTTACAAATCGAAAAATTTGATTTTGGCTGCCTCATTCAGTTAATTGTATGCAGGACTAATGTGTGAGCGAAAGGGAAAGTGAAAGGAGTAGAAGCTGTTCTGGAAGACTAGACTTGTTGCCTGCTTGCTTCCCCTGAGCTGGAGAGGTCAGCAAGAGTTAGGGAGCTGTTACAAGACATGGCCACACCATCTGCGACTCCCTGATGTGATCAGAGCATTGAGAGAGAAGTATAGAAGTATAGCACGTAATTCCACGTTACTTGATTCAGTGACCCATTCGTGTAAAATTCTCTCACATTCACACCCACACTCCGAGAAACACTGTTTACTAGAGAGTGTTTGGGGAGAATCCTGGTTATAATTAGTGAGCATGGAATCAGGCCAGATGAGCTCTGTTAGAGACTTGATGTCACTGTCATTATCTTTGGTAGTTCAGTGCATCCAACTCTTGTGAGGTCATCCTCAGCAACATATTTAGAATTCGTTAGGTCCCTTTGGGTTATTTCTGCATTTAGGTAATAGTTTCTGTTTTGACTTCTACCAATTTTGCTTCCTTAGTGTGTGCGTTGGGCAGGGAGTGGGGGTGGTCTTCTGATCTCACCCCCAGGAACGGAACACACCAGTGTCAAAGAACAGTAGCAATAGTTTTTGTGCCCTCTTGCTCACAGCATTTGACTGCATTGTAAGCCATTTTCAAAAAAAAAAATAAAAAAAGTGAATGTATTTAATGTGTCAGGGAAAAAAAAAAGCTAAAATAATTTAGTCTGATCTCCCTCTCCCTCATGATTAAATGCAGAATTTTCTCTAGGGAATCCCTGCTCAGGGCTGTCTAGCTCCTAGCTATATATATTTTGCAATGAGACATTTTCTAAGCCTCCTGTGGCATCTATATAATGTTTTATTATAATAAATAATAATATTTGTGTCCAGTACTGTCCAAGGGGCTTTACATTCATTCATCCATCCCACAAATACTTAAACATTTATCGGGACAATTCTAGGGTTTAGGAATACAGGAATAAAAGTAACAGACACTGTTCTTTTGGGGTACACATTCCAGGTCTCATAATATCCCTATTAAGTGACCACTCCCTTTTCTAGATGACAAAACTAAGGCACCACCATGAAGCTATATGACCTAGTTAGTGTTAGGGCCTGGTCTCAAACTCGTGTCTGTTCAACTCCAGAGTCTACACCCTTAGTCAGAATTCTGGGCTGCCCATACAGGGTTTCTTAACCACTCTGATTAGTTTCCTTTGTCTAAACCTTTTTTTAAAAAGTCATCTTTATGTTGGGTCTATTTCTTGATTACAGCCTAAGATTGCATAAGTTTTGTAAGAAATATGAATGCATGAAAGTTTATTCCCATGAGAAATATCACTTTGTTAAACCGTTTCTTATAGCACGAAAGGTAATACAAGTGGATGAAATGATAGTGGAAGAAGAAGAAGAAAATAAAAATAAGAAACTTCAAACTACAAGAGTAAGTAGGTACTCGGATTCAGGGCTGTGGGCTGACAGATGAGGAAATACAAAAATACTTAAAATACAGTGTTGCCTTCCCAGAGTCCAGTTTAGTAGAGAAAATCTCATTTAAATGGCTGTTAAAAGTGATCAATAAAAGTACGTATAAAGTGCATAGAACATAGAAGAGGAAGCTATTAAGTCTTATCTACCCCCTTGGGACACAGCCAGGCCTTTAAGGTGAGTGAGACTTCATTAGCTGGAAAAGAAGGGAATTCCCAGAGGAGGTGAAAAAGTGTCCGTTTAAGGAACAGGAAGCAGTTTGGTGTGGCTGGGATATAAGCTGCAAGGGTAGGGGCGGGATAGTGTGCCAAGCTTGGAAATTTCAGTTTCATCAGGTAGGCAACGGTAAGTGACATGACAAGATCGGTGTTTCGGAATAGAATTCAGGATAAATGGAAGACGGGAAAACTGTATGTAGACAAGGACGCCAGTGGGAGGCTCTTATAATTTTTGAACCGAGGCTCAGACTCTATAAAAATATTGTTTTGAGATAAGATTTAAAAGGGAGAATGGCAAGATTGGTGGAGGAAAGGAGGAACCAGAGATGACTAAATGGTTTCTAGCTTAGGCAACTGCCGTCAGGTGGGCTATGGGAAGAGCAGTGCTGGGTTAGGGCAAAGGCGGGGAGCACTTTATGTGTCAATTGTCTGACATGTCGAGTGTTTGATACTTTTCCAGGACAGCTAGCCTGCACAGCAATTTCAGCCTGGAGCTCAGGGAGGAGGAGGGTAATGAGAGAGACACCAACTCCCAAATCTTTAGGTGGTTGTCCCAGTGTGGGAATCGATGAGGTACAGGGAAAGCATGGCAGGGAGGGCTGAGGGAAGAGAGAACGAGGACCTTGCGAGGCAGGCTGCAGAGAAGCAGGGAAGGTGAGTCGATCTTGGTAAGGGTGGAGGGGATTATCAGAAGATAAGGAGTGATTCCTGTCAGCTACCTCTGAGGACTCGAGAAGGGTGAGGACTGCCGAGAGTTCCTTGGATTGGGCACCTGGGACACTCTTAGTGACCTTTGCAGTGCACTTTATGTAAAAGTGGGAAAGGACGGGGTGACCAGCCAGGCTGCAATCAGTTCAAAAGACATGTACTCATAATCTTGGCCAGAATCCTCTTTTTCGAAGACCAAGCCAGGTATAAGGACTCAGTTGATCAATTATGTTCCGAATTGTTTAAGTCACTGAATTCTATGAGATAGACCTTCTCATGTTCAATATTAGTTTTCTTTTCCAGAGCTGGTCCCCCTCTCCCTTACCTTTCCCCTTCTTGAGAAAGGCTTTTTGTAACCTCAGTTTTATTTGATTGTGGCTTCAGGTCAAAAGGTGTCCTCCATCCAAGAAGAGAACACAGTCCATACAAGGAAAAGGCAAAACCAAAAGGTAACGGCTTTTCCAGATTCAGCCGTGTGTCGGTTTTTTTGGTGAGCCATATTCATCATGGCAGTGAAAGGGGGTGAAGGGCTTTTGTGGCATGTGTTCTAGTAGAGCATGAAGTTGAATCCTAGAGTGTCTGAACTGAGAGGCTTCTAGCAGTGACCTGACCCAGCACCTTCTCCAATTCTTCTGTCCACATTCTCTATCCTCCTCCACTTTTTAAAGAGTGCACACAGGGAAGAATGAGGTCCAGAAACATATGGTGAGCGCTGCATGTTTTGTTTAGTTGCCTAATGGTCCATGTGCAGGCTACTCCACGATCAGTCACAAAGTGCCCATCACTTACCAGTAGTTAAGTTTATTGAAATGTTCCTCCTGGTCCTGCTAAATAAAGAAATCACCATGAGCTTAACCTGATTCTGCTGGCCCCTACTAAACCATTTGGGAGTAGTGGCTACATCTCAAACAAGCTTAGGAAAGTGGCCTGGGCGTAGGGGGTGTCCGTGAAGGAGTGGACTCCTCTCAGTTCTCCCCGAACAGTGGTAACTGCGTAGCCAGAGGAGAACTCCAGCTGGGCAGCCTGCAGCTGTGGAGAGGCTGTCTCTTTCCGCTCATTCCATCAGCTGGATCGTGAAGTTGGATTCTAGAGGTTGACTGCTTGAGTTCAAAGTCTGGCTCTATCCTAATTGTCTGAGTGACCTTGGGCAAGTTATTTAAAGTCAGTAAGTTTCTGTGTCTGTAAATGAGGATAATAATGGGGCTTCTTGTAGGGTTGTTGGAAGGGTTTCACAAGTTTATGTAGGTGCTCAGGACAGTATCTGACAAGGTCGGTGCTCTCCAGGTGTTACCTGCCTCTCCTACTGCTGTCATTGGACCTGAGCTGACGTACCTAATGGCTGTTTCTTACCTGTAGGTCCAGCAATTATAACACTGTTACCCCAGCTATGGGCCGAATGGAATTGTCTATGGTCAAACCAACTCCAGGCCTGACACCCAGATTTGACTCAAGGTGAGTATGAGGAACAGTGCTCGGATTTTGGTGGGAGCCCAACATTTAACATTAGTCAGAAAAGAAGGGTGTTTAAGAAAATACTCCTGACTCTTGGCCTGGGAAGCCCTCTCAGAGGAAGGGAACTGACTGGGCTCTCCAGGGTTTGCCTCTCGCTAGTGCAGGTGCATCTGTTTTCAGCAACAAAATGGTTCTTTTTCTGATGAGAGCGGGGGAGAACATTCTGTCTCTGATGACTAGGAGGACTCTAGTGACTTTTGGTCTTTCTGATTCTGATCAAAAGTTTTTGTTTTTTAGGTTTTGTTTTGTTTTTAAACGGCTAGACATTTTCCTATACCCTTGATGAAAAACTGACACCACCTTTTGGGAGACCAATATACAAGAGGACGTTCTTACAGCATAAGTTAATCCCTTCCATAGAGCCGGTCAACTAAACAGGAAATGCTGTGTGGCCATTTAAGGAGAAGTAGATCCATATGTGCTGATAGAGGAAGAGCTTCAGGATTACGAACAGTTGCAACACAGTGTGTCCTAGGTGCTCCCATTTGCTTTTCTAGTCATAGAAAGTTCCTGGGAGGACGCATAAGGAATTATGAGTGATTATCTCTGGGGCAGAGAGAGTGAGGAAGACTTACCGTCTCCTTTAATACCCACTCTTCTTTAACTGTTTTTACTGTCGTTGTTGTTATTGAAGAGCTTCAGGATTACGAACAGTTGCAACACAGTGTGTCCTAGGTGCTCCCATTTGCTTTTCTAGTCATAGAAAGTTCCTGGGAGGACGCATAAGGAATTATGAGTGATTATCTCTGGGGCAGAGAGAGTGAGGAAGACTTACCGTCTCCTTTAATACCCACTCTTCTTTAACTGTTTTTACTGTCGTTGTTATTTCCACAAGTATACAGCAAAGAACATTTAGGGGAAAATAGGTAGCATTTTAACTGTCTTGAGAAAGTTAGCTTGAGAATTAATAAAGTAATCTCTGAGTCATCCTCCTTTGACCCTGGAAAATTCCATTTGAAATACTTAGCTACTCTTGGAAATAGATTAACCATAGTTTATTTCTGGCTTTGTGACTGGATGGAGGGATGGATGGATGGAGGGAGGGAGGGATGACTGGCATTCATTTATAAGTCTTTGACCTAAAATTTACATGGATAAGAAATGGCTTTTGCTTGATGTATGTTTGATAATTACAACCTCTCTTCTCCAGCTGTGTTTAGTCATTACTGCTTAAAAGATTTTTTTCCCTAAATTTAGAACTTGCCTTCTTAGAAATGTGTGATTTGGAAACTACAGCTTGAGGCCAGATGGGGTTTGGAAGAGTTCATAGCACCTGGTGTCATTCAATCTGCCAAGCCATCTTTACAGAGATTTTTCCCACTTTATAGGGTCTTCAAGACCCCAGGCCTGCGTACTCCAGCAGCCAGAGAGCGGATTTACAATATCTCGGTGAATGGCAGCCCTCTCGCCGACAGCAAAGAGATTTTCCTCACTGTGCCAGTGGGAGGTGGAGAGGTAAGTGTTTCAGAGCTCCGGAGGCCAGGCCACAGTGTGCTGTTTACTCAGCATTTTCCCCTGGTCTATTACCCACTCTCCTCGCCCCCACAAATTCCTCTTGGTTGCTTAGATCCTGATCTCCAGAATTGTGTAGGACTCAGAACCCAGTTTCCTCTCCCACGTTAGAGGCCCAGACTGCGAAGATCCTTGCCCAGCTCTAGGATCCATTTGTTCATCAACTAACATTTGCGCACCTGTTTTGTAGCAGGCCCAAGATGTAGAAGACATTCTTGCCCTTGAGAAGCAGTTCAGTAATCAAGATAGTCTCACAATGAACTATATCATCATGTGATGTGTGCAATAATGGAGATGAAAGGGAGTGCATGGGGGGCACTATCGGGGTGTGTGCGTCATCTAGAAAGAGGAGCATGAGCTGTTTCTTCGACTTGGTACAATTTTGAGGAGTTCTGAAGAAGGCTGAGCCCAGTTCCTCTGGACTGAGTAGAGCAAGTTGCTGCCCTCACTTCGGGGAGAGAAGGGGAGTTTATCTCAGACGTGGTCTGCAGGGCATTTCTAAGCTGATGTGCATGCCCTGGTACCCAGGTGATCCAGCCATTGGCCCAGTGTTAAGCACTGACGTCACTGTATTCTGTGGCAGCCCGTGTCCCGCCTGCCTTCCCTCATCCCCTCTCCCCCATGTGCAGGACACCAAGGGGACTCCCTGGGGCACACTGGGCTGCTGGAGGGAAGTTCCTGCCCTGAGGGACATGCTGATTTAACCCACTCTCCCGTCCATACAGAGCATGCGGTTGTTGGCCAGTGACTTGCAGAGGGTCGATATCGCACAACTGGACCCAGAGGCCTTGGGAAATATAAAGCAGCTATCTGTAAGTCTCGTGTTCACCTCCACACCTAGGGAGCTTCCAATAGCTTTTGTCTTTTGGGTCTGGGCTAATGCTTTATACTTATAATTGCGTTGCCTTCTTTCCTCGGGAGACTTTGACTGTTATCCTACGTACCTAGCAGCAATTCTGTCCTTAAATTGATTTTGAGTTTCGGTCTATTCCAAAGCACTTGTCTCAGAAGTTTCATAACAGAATCAAAATTCTGCCTCATTCAGGCAGTTGGTGCCTGTGTGTTAGGGCACAATTGACTTCCATGACCTGAAGCTTCCTCCTAACAGTTCAGGAATGGGAGGAGGGGCTTGTTACGAGGAATTCCACGGAATCAAAGAAGTGCTGCGCAGCTGGGCCTGGGGTGGTGGGCCCGTCAGCAGCAGGAGTTCATGGAGCTGCACTCTGGCGCGCCAGCTCCTTCAGCTCGTCTTTGGGGCCTCGTGCACTCATTTCTCTTGCGCTTCTTCATCCCTCCCCCTCAGCAGATGACTTTCTCCACAGGTCTCTTAGTTCTGCTCTCCCCAAACATTGATTTGTTGTGGCTTTGAGTTGCCACACTTCTCTAACTTCGTTGCTCGTTGCCCAACACTAACCATCCACGTTCTTTTCTTCATTTAAATTCTCAAGAGGAATGGTTCGATTGGCTCAGCTTTGGTCAGATGAGCCTCCCTGGTCCAGTCAGCATGGTGTTGGGTGGTGTATGGGAGCGCTGAGTGCCGTAGGCCTACCCTTCCGGGGGTCTGTGAAGGGTACAGCCAAGGAAAGGGACAGGGGCAGGGCTGCTTTCTCAAACATGTCCTACTAAACACAGTCCCAGTAGTGAGGTCACACACATACCCAGCCACCCACATCTGGAGACACTCATCATCTAACTGGACCTCCAGCATCACTCTTGCCAAATTATACCATCACTATCTCATTTGAGATGTTATTTTGCTCCTTTGTTCAGATGAGAAACAGATTCGGAAAGGTGAATTAGTTTGTGATATAAATAGAGAAGGGAGAGCCGAGATTCCCTCGGACCTGCCTGACCCTATGTCCAGCGCTCCCTGAGTAGTCTGTAAGTAGCTAACAGGGCAAGCATGCTCAATGCCATCTTCTCTAAATGAACTGTCTTATTCTTTTTAGAGCCGTCTTGCCCAAATCTGCAGCAGCATACGGACTCACAAATGAGGCTGCTATTCCAAGAAGCCAAACTTGACAGGATGGATCTTCAGTGGGCACTTCTGGGACCTTCTTCACTTAAAGTTTATTGTGTGTTTGAGTGTGAAGTTCCAGAGCAAGGAGCAATATTCCTCCTGGAGAATTCGGGAAGTGAGGAGACACTGTTCCCCCATCATTTAGATAAAGTTTTGCTATTCACACCTCTTACTCCAGGTGACAGAGACACTGCCTGCTGCCTCCATGCAATCAACTTCCTGTCATTCTCCCAGCTGAATTCTCCTTTCTATTTTCAGAGCTGCAGCCTTCTGCCTCCTGTTACTCGGTGTCCTCTGCCCTGCCCTAACTACAGTGGAGGTTGGCATGGCAGAACCTCATGTTCTTGGGAAGACTGCCTACTTACCCTCTTCAGAGAACCCTCTGCATCTGGCATTTTCTGCTCTGTTTGTGCTTGAGGCTGGGAGGTTTGGGCTCAGAGAAGTGAGAGTGCCAGGCCATGAGAGGGCAGATCCAGAAAGCTGGGTGGAACTGTACAAATGGGGCCAAGACAGAGGGACAGGACATGTCTCACCTCCCACGCGCATCCCCCTCCTCCTGTGGTGGGGACCCTGGGGCTTTGGAATCTCACTGCTGTGCCCAGTAGTTTTTTTCAGGCTGGCTTGCGGAAGTGTTTCGTATTTATCTCTCTTTACCGAAGACCAAAAATTGGTTTGGAGGCAGTTTCCATGTCTTGCTCTTCTACCTCTCCAGTTAGTGGGAACTGTAGGACTTAGATTAGTCTGGGTTTTTATGTGACTGGCACAGAGGAACTCTAAGCTCTCCGTGGTCCAGTTGTCCATGTCAGGTCCGTAGACTGCAGAGAGCACTTCTCTCATGGGTTTCATCAGGGCAACGGATGTTACTTTGGTGGTGGCCTCATTTCATGCGTTTGGCCTGTGCCCTGGGTGTGGACTAGTTCTTTGGAGTCATCACTGACATCCTTGTGTGCCAGCTGGCACCTCTGCCCCAAAGAATCATGGGATGTGGTCCAAGAATATGGGAACTGAGAGTTCCCACCCCAAGCTTAAGAGCACACAGTCTTCTCCTTTGGCTCTTTGCTGTACTTTGTAGTATTTTGCTCTGTGACCATTCTAGTAATCCAGTCCTGTTTAAGTTGTATTCAAGTTGTTATATTCTCCCATTCCTGAGACTTTTGTATATATTGTTTTCCTCAGTAATGGTATCTCTTAGCTGATTTCTTCTAATCAGCTATTGAAAAGTATGTGTTTTCAATAAACTGTGAGATTGTTTTAAATCAATATTCAGCCTGCCTGTTATCTTCAATCTGTGCTACTTGGACTACAGGCAGTTTTGGAGCTGAAGCTATTGGAGTCAGGGATCTTTAAACAACAACTTTCTCACAAGATGCAAAAATATTTCAGGCAGAATCTCTCTGATATCTGAAGAGAGGGTCCTCACCCCAAAATCCAGGACATGGGTCACCTACCCCAAGTTTTCCCCCCAATACTTTCATTCCGAGCTAGAAATTTACATCTGGGAGGACAAAATCTAAGGTATCTATATAGTTTACCTATATAGTCAAGTCTCATTGGCCAGGAACAAAGTAGGGGCACAGATAATTCAGTGATATGCTTCTCATTTCCCAAAGTCCCAGGGGCTTTGGCAGATCTGTCTTCCTGGAATTTACTACATTGAAAATGATTCCTATGGAACTAATAGTGGAAAAGAAAACAATCTGTGATCATTTCTTAGCCAGGTCATTTGACATTGACAGTTTATGGAGAAGGACCTTTTGGTCAATGATAGCATTTGAAATAAAGGTTATTCATTTCGAGCAATTAAGTCCCTAAACCTGAGGCTTCTACCTGTTCTTTCATCACCTGGTACAGTGTTAGAAGCCCAACATCAAGGAAACACTTAGGGTCCAACATGCTTTACCCAGAACCAGGCTCACCCTATTTCACCCCATTTGTTCCACCTCTCAGATGAACCCGGTTGTAGAAAGTGTGTAGTATGCAGCCAGTGCCTAACAAACACCAGTTGCAAGTTGCATGACAAAAGATAGAGCAGTCTATTCCATCTAAGGGGCTGACTTGAAAGGTAATGAGCTCCCCATCCCAGGATTTAAAGCATGAACCAAACTATTACAAAGCTGAAATGTTGCAAAGAAAATTTAAATCTTACTGCCAGCCCACAGACATACTTTCACTGGACTTTGTTTGTCTTCAAATTAGTTGCTAACAATTTTCAAATCATGGGATTTCACAAAAATGATTGCTAGCCTCCAAAAAATAAGATCTGGCAATGCAGGGGATGGTTGGAGCTAAGTAGGAGCTTGGCCCTTACAGAAAATTCTTCCCATTGAAAGCAAAGAAAGGAGGATGGGGCCTGGAGCCTCCTTCGCCAGGACCCCTGAGGCAGTTTCATAGAACTCTAGAATTTCAATAAACAGATTCATTCTTTGCCCCACAAGCCCCCGATCTTTCCAAAAGCCCTGCTTGGGGCTTCCTATTGAAAGAATTCCAAATATATTGCCTATAAAGAGTTAGATTATTCATGGGAAAAGCTAGTTCTTAGGGTATGTGTGATAGGACATCACCTAAGCATCATTTATTTATGGCATCAGACATATCTTTTAGCTCAAAGGAACTAATCCCTATCTCCACCAACGAGTTTGCGTTACCTCAATGATGTGTCTACTACACCCCTAAAAAAGTATGTCTCAATGTCCACATGTGCACAAGCTCTGATAAGTGTATTTGCCTTTTCTAATTTTACACAATGACAGTTGTTGATCCATACCTAAAATTCAGCATGACATGTATATGCTGAAGATTTAATAGAAAATTCATGTGGCTTCAGAAATGGAAGGAGACACTATGAGAGATCAGCACCGGGGCCTGCTTTGACCTCTCACTTAATGGAATCTGGAATCCAATTTACCTTGGCTAAGGTGCCTTCTCCCTTTACAAGATTAGGCATTTCCCCAGCCCTTTATCATCCCCACTTGCATCACTTTACCTATTAAACGAGTAAGTCCCCTCTCTATCCAACTCCCTCCCCACCAGCTGTAACCCACGAGCCTTGCCTTCAATACTTTGCCGTCATCTTTCCCTTAGTTGATAGTAGCATCTATGTGGTTGGCGTTTTCTGATCCTCGAATGATGGATATGGTAGAGGACATAAAATACCCTTGGCACCAAGACACCAGGAAGAGCCCAGCTCCCCATCTGCAAATCGTCAGTGCCCACAAGCACATGCTGCATGTCACAATATGCCGAGAGCCATCAGGATGGAGGCACATGACAGCCTCCAAGGAGGCACCCCTTCAAAACTGATGCAAAGGTCACACTGGCAAATCTACTCATCTTAATTCTCCCAGTGAGTGCCCCTGCCGATTATCATGAATGAGTGTGGTGGTGGAAAAAGGAGAAAGGGAAAATGGAGCCTAATTGGGAGGAATGTAAAGTGTTTACAATGGGGAAACAAATTCGTTTTTTAGTTTTTCTGTTAAACGTACACGAATGGTGTTGGTCAAAACATATCCTTGGGGCAAGGCTTGAGATACCCGTGCTCTGCACGCAAGATGCTGGGAGGCATCATGAGGGCATCCATGCACAGAAGGAGTTTCTGACTTCTCTCTGTTGCCCCAAGACCCCAGGGGACCCAGCTACTAACGTGGAGTAGGACACTTCCTGAGGAGACTAGCACGGTTTTTTTCAAGATATTGGCAGACACTCAAGTTCACATGGCAAAGGATACAAAGAGATTTATAGTAAGGAGGTATACTCGTGTCCTGAGCAGTGTAATGGGGGTGATGTAAAGAGCCAAGTCCACAGCCCAGTCACTAAGGGCAGTGAACTCACTACCTGGGCTTTTCACACCTCCCCACCAAGTCAGACAAAGCCCTGCGCTGGACTCTACAACACCTGGGATTTATCCCTATTGCTGTGCCTTTTATGGTTTTTACTTAACTGACTCCCCATTAGGCGGTGAGGTCTTAACTCCCTAGTGCAGGCCACCCAGTAGGTGCTCCGTACATGTTCACCAAACGAGCAAATAACCTTATGAAACCAGTCTGCAGCCTCACTGCCCAGACAGGTTCAATTCTCAGCCATATATCATACATCTATCTGGTCCTGACACCTTGCTAATACCATTTGGTGGGTGTTTACTGTGTGTCAGGGGCTGTGTAAGTGCTGATGGGGGCCTCCATTCTCTGGCTGTGTGCCTCTAAGGGGACAGACTCTAGCAGAGCCGCACTCTTGACATCTTCACTCAACTCTCATTTATTCTTCCCTGTGGGGGAAGAGACCCATCTACTGGAATTGGGAGACAGAAGGAATAACCTGCTTACATTGGTGCCACCTGGCTTCCTGTAGGTCTGCCTGCCTATAAGAGGGGTGCACCTGGTCTGCTCCCCCATCATGCAGGAAGCTGGATGGGTCAGGCTTGTGAATCACTGGCTCAGCCTGGGACTGAGAAATGACGGGAAATGTACTTTGTCCCCAATTCACCACAGCTCACTTACCAAAGATGTACATTTTAAACATTTTTAACATCTCTGAAATTGGGATGCATCTTCCAACCAGATGGCATGACATAGTTTTTAACTGGCTGTGATGTTTCTTAGTGGTGCACCTTACACTCAGTGGCATCTTAGATTCAAAGAAACATGGTAAGCAACATACTCTAGGCTGCCTTAGCAAAAAACTGGCATCTTAATCTTCATCTGCCCCAGGGAATTCATACAGTTGGTTCTGAACACAGGAGGGGAAGAAAGGGGTCTTATTTATTGCCACCCCTTCCACCCAATCCCCGTCGCTAAGCACTTTCCATAACCTGGACTAAACAGATAAATAAGATACCTGCTCCAGGCTACGAATACAAACAGCCCAGGCCAGGGAGAGCAGAAGAACTAGAGAGCCGACCAAGAAAAAGGATTACGTGGTACCAGTGTGTGTGCGTGTGTATGTGATGTGTGTGTGTATGCGCGAGTGCTCAGGTGGTATCCCCACACTCTTCAACTCACACCCCCATTCTACCCTGGTAATGGTTTTGCCCCACCTTCCTCCCTTTGCAGCCCCCTCAAGAGATCCCCAAACACCATTTCTCAATCCTCTCATTTGGCTTCTGCCCCCTCAATTACAATCACTGCTATGGGTTGAATACTGTCCTCCCCCAAATTCATATGTCGAAGTCCTAACCCCCTGTATCTCAGAATGTGTCTGTATTTGGAGACAGAGGTCATCAAGCTAAAATGAGGTTGTCGGGGTGAGCCAGTGGGGACCAGTCCAGAATGACTGGTGTCTTTCTAAGGGAAGAGGAAATTTGGACAAAGAAACACGCAGAGAGGGAAGGTGGTGTAGAGAGATACGGGGAGAAGATGGACACCTGCAAGCCAAGGAGAGAGGCCTGGGGCAGAGGCTCCCCTCCGCCGCCAGAAGGAGCCGACCTGTCAGCACCTTGAACTCGGACTTTCGGGCTCCAGAACTGTGAGACAACACATTCCTGTTGTTTAACCCGTCTGTGGTACTTTGTCACAATACCCTGGGGGACAAATACAGTCACTGACAACATCCGAGCTCACCTGGCTCCTCTGTATTTATTTTACATCAAAACTCGTCTTCCTCTGGCTCGATGGCATGACATGGTCCTGGCTTCTCTCCACTGCTCCCCTCAGGTTGTCTCTGCTCTTCTTCATCCAGTTGCCTCAGTGTCAGTGTCCCCAGAGCCCCGCTCTCCTCCACCGGCTGGCCTAGGGTGACCTTCTCACCATGGTTCCCACTCCGAGCTCTGCCTCTAGCCCACATCTGTGCCAAGTCCCAGACACATATCTGTGTGCCTCCTAGACACCCCTGCCTGCATGTCCCATGAGATCTCAATCGTGTGTCCAAAACCAAGCTCGTCATTTCCTGCTCTCCCCCTATATCCCTGCCCAGCCCGCTGCCCCTCCCCATACACTGTCTGCTCCAAGGAATGGCACCCCCAGCAAGTGTTACCTCCTCTGGGAAGCCTCCTTCAGTTTTTTTTACTGTTCCTGAGACCAGGCAATACCCTTCTCTACACTCCCAGGCTACCTAATGCTCTCCCCGGTGGTAGCCCCGATCACACTGTCCTGTCATGTTTCCTAAATGTGTCCCCTGCTAGACTAGGGGGAATCTTTCAAGGCAGGGATAGTCTAATTCATCTCCAGGCAGAGAAATCTCAGACACACACTCTGGAGACCCCCCCCCTCGCCCCCATGGGGCAGGGGTGGGGGCAACCCTCCCACACAAGCTAATTAATGATTAAGCAATTGTCACTGAAAGAGGCACTATATCACAGACAAGTTTTTATTACTTTGTCCTGCATATAGAACCCGAGAATTATAAAAACATCTCCAGAATTTAGTCAAAGAAACCACCTCCCCGACCGGCCCCTTCCCTCCCTGGATGGGCTCAGATAGGGGTGCTCGGGGGTTGCAGACCACTTCCCTCTGTCTACTGAAGAAGTTTCATATAAAAATAGATCTGTAGAGGGCTCCCAGAGAGCCATCAGCCCACATCACACCAGCACCCGTGCAGGGCCGAGGCCTGGGACCCCTCAAAATTCTGGGACCTCGCTCCTCGGTGGAGGGAGATCTACCCTGGACACCGAAGTCCTGCCAGCAGGGGCCCCTCTGCAGAACAGCCGGGGGACGGGGAGGGAGCTTTGACCTTTAGCGTATGACTTATGAAGCCAGAGCTGGAGATGAAGCCCCCTCCACCCAAGACGGGATTATGGTCCCCATGCCATGTCCACTCCAGGATTCTGGAGGGGGAGTGGGGGTTGGGGCACAGAGCCTGAAGAGCACCTGGCATGGGACCCTCCAGCCCCGTCAAAGGTAGAAGCAATATCTCAGTCTCCCTCAGTAGCCCCAAAATCACTGAGCTTGAGCAGGTGCCCAGGAGATGGGGAAGCAAGGCGGGTGGGGGTACTTTAAGGAGAGAAGAGCTGCTGCTGGCAGGGCCAGGCCAAAGGCACTGCTGTGAGACACCGTCTGCCACCAGGGGGTGCTCCTCAAAGATGCGCCGCATCTTCCAGCTTCCAGGTCCTTCTCAGGTTAGCCCCTCTGCTTAGACTCCTCTTGTCCTAGGCCCTCCATCCTGGCCTACTGAAAACTCCAGCCACCCAAAGAAAGAACCCTCTCCCACCTTTAAGACCCTGGTCAACTTCCCCATCAGCCTCTCAGCCAAGAAGCCTTTGCAGACACCCCTCCACACACACAAATCAGCCCCCTCTAGCCCCCCTGCCCACAGACCCAGGGTCTCCTGTGGGCCCTGGGACATTACTGGAAGGCACCTTTGTGGTGCTTCTTGCTGCCCGAGTTCATCTCCCCACCTAGTCTGAGCTCTCCAAAGGTCAGCTCTGTATCTCATCATTCACCCCTTTCCTCTAGCCCTTGGGTCCTTCCCACCTCTTTCCCCTCACACACAGCCAAACCCAGAGCAGGCATGTCAGTGGCGGTCTGGAATGACTCAGTCCTCATGGCCCTATCCAGATCCAGCTGCCTTCCTGCCATTCCGTGAAAGCCTGGCCTCACGGTCACCATCGCTTCTGGGGAGCCCTCTGGATAAGGAACTCTGGAGTCAGCTCAGTGCACCCACTTCTGCCAGAGGCCAGCAGAAGCCAGAGGGAGGCGTCGCTCCACGGAGGCTGGGTGGTGCCAAGGCGGGGTCACCTTGGAGCACCCCTGCCCGCCTCAGCGGAGATCCCTCTGGTACCGTAGGGCAGAAACAAGGCCTTCCCATCCAGAGCCGCTCTCAGCCCTGAATGGGGAGCTGGGTGACCTGGATCTAACCCAGGCTGGGCCCCAACTCCTCACTGGGCCTCGGTTTTTCCCATCTGCACAGTTAGAGTTGGACCAACTTATCAGGGAGAGAAGATCTATCTCCGAGGGTCTCTTCTTCACCATCCCCCAAGGCTGACGGCAAAGTTTTTGGGTCTCCCCAGGGAGAAAACCTCTCCCCTCGTGCTCTTCCCATGTGTACTGGCCTGTGGGTTTATAAAAAGAATGCAAAGGGGAGGCTCGTGGGGCTTCAGGGGAGCACCAGGACCTTGAGTGGCCGAGCCAGGACCCTCGCCCTCACCCTGGACTGTCAGCCCAAGGGCAGGGGAAGCAGAAACCAGCTCCTAAGTCTAGAACCCTCAAGGTCCAGCCCCTGAGCTCAGCACCACCTCGGCTGCCTGGGCCCCAGGACTAATGCCCAGGCAGGGCTGAGCCCAAACCCAACGAGCTGAGGGCGCCGCCCCTCCAGGGCCCATCAGGATGGGCTGCCAGGCAGCTGTGGTCACCGCCAGTTTTAACGGGAGCCCAGCAGGGACCCGTGCTGCCTGCTGGCCAACGGTCTGTGGGTTGATGTGGGAGGCTCCAGCCCCCAGTGGGTGTGGAAGACAGAAAGGCATGAGCCTCGTGATTTAAAGCTACGTCTTCCCTCCGCGCCCCACCTGACCTCAGTGCCTGAGACCTTGCGTTTCCTCCGGCTGTTCTCTCAAGGGTCCTCTCCAGGGATCTGACCCTTTTTCCAGGGGACCGAGTCAGCCGAGGTGTTCAGACGGGCGAAAATGGGAGGTGTAGGCAGTGAAACGAGGAAACTGGCCCCGGGTGGAGGAGGAGAGCGCTCGCTGCCACACAGTGGGGGGCTCAGCTTGCCAGGGCCGAGTCCGGAGCCCCCCTGGGGTCCTGGCCTGGAAGAGTGGGGGCTGCTCACACCTGCACCCCCCGGCCCTGCAGCTGGAGTACTCGTGCCCGCAGGGCGCTGATCCCACTGAGGAGAGCCTCCCGATGCTCCGCCGAAGAGATTCCCAGGCTCACCAGGTCCCTGTGAAGAAGGGCTGGTCAGACCGAGCCGGCTCAACCCCACCTTCTGCTCTCTCGCCCTTTGTCTGGACAGGGGAGGGCCCAGAACCAGGACAGGCCCTCCACATAGGCAGGGGCAGTGGGTTCCTCAGACTCACTGGGCAGTCATGGCGGCCACAGCCTCCAGGCTCCCGTAGCCAGCTGCAGCGAAGCTGTCCTTGTAGCGGCCCAGGTCCAGGGCCTCCAGCCACGCGCCCACGGAGCCGAAGGAGGGGAAGGTGGAGAAGGCACGGTCCTCCAGCGGGGTGGGAGGCCTGGAGGCAGACGACGGTGGTCAGGTGACAGCAAGGATCTGGTGCCCAGACCTGGTCACTCTCCTGAGGAGAGGCCAGCTCGAAAGGACAGGAGAAGGGACGGCAACTGGGCCCCAGGGCAGACCTGGCTCAGGTGCAACCCACTTTTCACCTGGCCAAGTATGTCGAACTCTCACCTACTCTGAGAATGCCCAGCAGGGGCACTGCGTCGGCCAAGGTGTTCAGACTGGGGAAAGTGGGAGGAGTAGGCCGTGAAACGGGAGGAAACTGGCCCCAGGAGGAAGAGGAGAGCACTCACTTCCGTACAGGTGGACCCCAGCCCTGACAATCACCCTGGCAAGCTGTGCTCCCCCCGTGTGGGAGTGAGTGTGCTCCTCCTCCACCTGGGGCCAGTTCTCTCCTGTTTCGCTGCCTACTCCTCCCACTTTCCCCAGTCTGAACACCTTGGCCGACTCGGTGCCCCTGCCGGTAATTCTCAGAGCAGGTGAGAGTTCGACATACTCAGGCAGGTGGAAAGTAGGTTGCACCTATACCAGCTAAAGGTACTGGGAGTATCTGGAACAGTCTAGGGGGTAAGGTATATCTAGGACGGTTTGGGAGGTGACTCATTAGGACAATTAATACTAACTTCACTAATTTTATTTACGGGAACTACATATTGGTTAGGGTTATTACCACATATATTTATCCAGTCAGTGGCACTGTACGTGGGATATGTGAAGCTAAATCCAGGACAAGCAGAAGGGACCAAGATGGATGAAAAATTACATGCATCTAAGGCAGGGGGGAATATTAGATCTAACTTGGGCAGCTGAGTGAGCAGTCCTACCTGAACAGGTTGGGTAGGACAGATGGGGCAGCTATACCTGGGGCACATGGGAGACCATTCATGGACAGGTGAGAGGTTGGCTGTATCTGCTATGGTTGGGAATAGATGAGAATGTACCTGGGACAGGTGGTCGTGGCACACTTCGGGGGCTCTGGGTCGTGCACCATCTTGCTCAGGATGCTGTGGATCTGGGAGAACCTGGGCCGCTCACCTGGGTCCTCCTGCCAGCAATCAAGCATCAGTCGGTGCAGTGGGGAGGGGCAGCTCCTGGGGGGTGGCAGCCGGAAGCCATCCTCTACAGCCTTGATTACCTGGGTCATAGGGGTAGGGGAGAGCAGATAGGAGGCTTTAGGTCCCCAACACACACA